CAATAAAAAAAAGGCAATTTGTTTTTTAATCTTGTTTATATGTACATATTTTAACAAAAAGACTTAAATAACTAGACAGGCACTGTTTCCAAAGTAATTTTGAAAGTCTAGGAGCTGGGGCTGTAGATGGGAGTTGCTGAGGTTGCAGCTGAGAGGTGGAGCACCTGCTCAGCATGTGCCAGCTCCCAGGTTCAGTCTCAATCACTGCAACAGAAACAATCGAAGCTACCTAGATGCCTGTACTCCTAGCGGCATTCAGAAGGATCAAGGGCAGGCTAGGCTACACAGCAAGTTCAAGATCAGCCTCAACTATGAAGTGAGACCCTGTCCTTTGTCTCAAAACAAAATAAAGTCTAATTCATGCTTGGCATAGTGGCGCATTACTCAAAATCCCAGTAACTTAGGAGGTTCAGGCAGGAGGATTACAAGCTGGAGGCCTACCTAGCCTGCCTATTTAGTGAGGCTCTGTCTCAAAATTTTAAAAAAAAGATCGAGGACGTATACCTCAGTGGTTCAATGCTTGCCTGGCATACACAAGCTGGATTTAATCCTCAGTACTGCAAAAGATAAATAAATAAACTAACTACGCACAAAAAGTGATTTTTTTTAAATAACCAGACATACAAACAAAAATTAGATACTATATAATTTTAAAAAACAGTGGTTTTCAAGGACTTTATCATGCTGGGCCTGGTGGTACACACCTATGACCCCGGTACTTGGGAAAAACAAAACAAAAATAAAGTTATTATCAGCACTGCCACTTTACAAATTATATGATATAAAGGCAGAATCTATTTAAACATACTCCAGCCAGGTATATCCATAGAATGGAATATTATTTAACTTAAATGGAATGAAATTCTAGTGCTGTATGTGAACCTTGAAAAAATTATGCTAAGTAAAATAAGCCAGACACATGCAAAAAAAAAAAAAAAAAAAAAAGTATGATTTCACTTACAGGAACTACCTAAAAACAGAAATTCGGAAACAGAAAATAAAAGAGGTTATCGGAAGACAGAAGGAGGGGAGAATGGAGAGCTCATATAATGAATGCAGGGGCTGGTGAGATGGCTCAGTGGTCTAAAGCACCTACTTAGAACAAGCTTAGCAAGGCACAGGGACCACGGTTCAATCCCCCAGCACCACATGCCAGCCAGCCCCACCCCATGGTGGGCTGAGCTGGCCACACACACACACACACACACACACACAAATAAATAAATAAAATTAAAAAAAATAATAATAATGAATGCAGTGTTGCTGTTCAGAATGATGTGGGGATGGATGGTAGTGGTAACCAGTACTGTGAATGTGTTTAGTGCCAGTGAACTATACACTGTTAAAATGGTAAATTTCATTCATTTATTTCTGTCTTTTTCTTTTTTTTTAATTTTATTTATTTATTTATTTATTTATTTATTTTTGTGTGTGTAGCCAGCTCAACCCACCAGGGGGCGGGGCTGGCTGGCATGTGGTGCTGGGGATTGAACCATGGTCGCTGTGCTTTGCGAAGCTTGTTCTAAGTAGGTGCTTTAGACCACTGAGCCATCTCACCAGCCCTATTTCTGTCTTTTTGAGGCAGGGTCTTGCTATGCAGTTCAGGCTGGCCTTGAACACACTTCGTAGTTCAGGCTGGCCTCGAACTTGTAGCAATCCCCTTGCCTCTGCCTCCTGAGTGCTGGGGGTTTAACACTGAGCTACCACACCAACATGCTACAGATATCAAGTTTTTTTTTTTTTTTTAATTTTTATTTATTTATGTGTGTGTGTGTGGTCAGCTCAGCCCACCAGGGGGCGGTGCTGGCTGGCATGTGGAGCTGGGGGATTGAACCGCGGTCCCTGTGCTTTGCTAAGCTTGTTCTAAGTAGGTGCTTTAGACCACTGAGCCATCTCACCAGCCCCTCTTATCAACTTTTTAAAAAAAATCTATTTGGGCCCTGGGGAGATGGCTCAGTGGAATAAGCGCTTGCTTGGCAAGTGCAAGGGCCTGAGTTCAATCTCCGGTTCCGGAAAAAAAAAAAAATCTATTTGGTACAGGGTCTCACTATGCAGCTCAGACTCATAGTGGTCCTCCTGTTTTCAGCCTCCCCAGCATTGGGATTACAGGCATGTGCCACCATGCCCAGACTCAGTCACACACTCAGTGCGCTCAGGTGCAGGGCTGGCATGGCATATGGCGTTGGGGATCAAATCACCAGTCCCTGCACTTGCCTAAGTAGGAACTTAGTCCACTGAGCTATCTTGCTGGCCCTTCATTAACATTTTTAATATTCTAGCCAAAACAAGAGACAGGCAGAGCAGGTGAAGAAATGATTAGTAAACTCAATGGAGAGACGGGATGAAATACACATGCGGGTTAAGAGTAACACACATGTAGGAGCGGCGATGTACCTGTAGTCCCAGCTGTTGGTGGCAGAGGCAGGAGGACTGCCAGGAGTTAGGGCTAGACTCAAAAAGCCAAAACAAACAAACAAAGCAAGCATATGTGGCTGAAGGCCATGGCTATAATCCCAGATGAGGCAAGACTACTAGTTCAAGGCCAACGTGGGCCACAGAGTGAAAAAGTCTCAAAACAACAAGAGCTGGGGATAATAGCTCAGCAGTACAAGCACCTGCCTGGAAAGTGTAAAGTCCTGAGTTTAATTCTCAGTACCAAAACCAAACCAAAACAAAAACCCCATATTTAATTTATACATATATGCATGTCCTAGAAATGTAATGTGAGGGAGATCGTTCAGTAGAATAAGCGCTTGCCTGGCAAGCACCAAGTCCTGAGTTCAATCCCCGGTACTGCAAAAAAATAAAAAATAAAAAATAAATAAAAATAAGGTTATGATCCTTTGGTTCATGAGCGTGATGATTGGGTGTTCATGCCTTATGCATGAGATGTGCCTCCCTCAAACCTTATTACGACGTGGGCACATTACCCGTCTGACGTTAAAAAAAAAAAAAAAGTAAAGTGCCCCTTGATTAAAGTACATAATCAACAAAATTTGAAGATCTATTTTTGAAATTCAGATCAGAAAAGAATTAGAAATCATAATCTCAAGGGTCATCTACTCAAGGGCGATTTTCAAATCTTTTCAAGTAAAACCTTTTTTTTCTTTGCTCCAAATGCCTTCAGGGCAGGTTGGGCTGCCTTGAGTTGTGGGGATCGAACCACAGCAACCTGAGCCTGACAGCTTTGTTGAAGCTGCCACTTAAGGAACTGAGCTACTGGGCAGACCCCCAAAACCTTTTTTTCAAAGGTTACTGAGGGGTTCAGGTGTCACTCAGTGGTACAGCGTTTGCTCAGCATGTTCAAAGTCCTAGATTCAACCCCCAGTACAGACAAAAAGAAAATACGCACTCTCACATCCTCCCCTATTTTATTGGAAACTCAATATATGACACATGTCAAGGAAATCAAGGAGGTATTTACACACATTAATTATAGTAGCTTCAAACCTTTTGAATATGGTGGGAAGGGTGAAAAAAAAAAGGGCAAACTAGGTGTGGTGGCACATGCCTAATGCCTATAATCCCAGTACCCGGGAGGCTGAGGCAGGAAGACTGCCATAAATCTGAGACCAGGCTGAGCTATACGGTGTGAGTTCAAAGCCTGCCTGAAATACACAGAGAAACTGCCTCAAAATGATTTCCTGCAATTATTTATCAACCCTGCCTGAAAATTAACAGAGAAATCAAATATAACTTAGAATATGAAAATGACTGTTAAAAGACAAACCATTTTGTGTTTTACATTTTTAACAAGTTTACTCTTAGTAGTAAGTAGGACTCTGAGTTTCTCTAAAGAGGCAACCAGAAAAAAAGGCCACTTAGTAATAAGCAGGGTCACTATGTGCCTGCGTTGTTCTGGGTGGCTGAACTTCATTATCTCTGTCAGGGGCACAATGTCCCCATAAACAGAATCATGTCCCTCTGTCAGGGGCACAGTGTCCCCATAAACGGAATCATGTCCGTTTTCAAAGGACCTTCAGGTAAATCAAGTCTTGGGAGGGGAAAAAGAAGAAAATGAAGGCGCGCTCCATACATGCCTACCTATTCCCCATGAGGAATGTAATCCCTATGTGTACTGCAAACAAGGACTAAGGGAAAAAAGAAAGACAACATCAAGACTCCTGCCTGAAGTCACGAAGCTGTTGACCGGGCAAGCCTGAGAAGGCTTCCCAGAACTGTCGAGCCCCAAAGGTCACCTCAGATCACAGGCTTCTTTGGTTCAAAGGGCTGATCCAACCTCAAGCTGACCTACACACCCCGGCTGGCCTACCACTGCTCCCGGCCCTGATCCCAGCGCTGTTTTCTCGCCCTGCCCAGCCCTGCCCAGCGCACACCTTTGGTCTGTGAATGGACCCGCCTCATCACAGCTACCTTCGGCCCTCTCTCTAGGAAGCCCTGATCAGGGCCAGAGTTCAACTGCAGCCATGGAGCAGCGACCGAACCCCTCTCCCAGTGTTAGGAGGGCTCCTATCGCCTTGGGATGGGTGTGCAGACATGAAGAAAAAAAAAAGGGGGGGGGGAGGATGGCCCAAGCAATTGAGGGGGCACTATTCACTAGAGTCTGCGCCCAGCTTCCCAGCCGCGAAACTGGGGGAAAAGGGGGTGGCTCCTGTCCCCTCCAAGAGCCTGTCCAGCTCTGAAACGGCACGATTCCCCTGCCCCAAGGGAGATGGCTCCCAGCTACCCTCACCCGCGGTGGAGACGGTGGGCGAGGAGGAAGAGGAGGTGCGAGGACTAGCCAGCGGGGACCCCGGGGTGAAGGGGGCGTCCCCGACCCCCACGCCGCCGCTTACTCGGTGATGCGTTTGGCCAGTTCCGTGCAGGCGGCCGTGGAGTTGGCCGAGAAGACGCGGTAGCCTGTGCGGGCGGCGTTCATGGCCGGCGGGGCTGCGGGATGGGCTCGCGGGGCGCGGAAGGCCGAGTACGGGTTCAGCGGGGGCAGCAGAAGCAGCTTCTTGGGCATCGTCCGGCCCAAAGCGCGGTGACAGCCGCCCGCCCGGGGCCGGACCCGGGAGCTGCTCTGAACGAGGTGGCCGCGAGCCCAAGCGCTGAGTTAGGAGAGACGCTGAGAAACACACGCACGGCGACAAGGGGCACGAGACCCGAGTCCTTTCGCGTCCCAGAATCACAAACCGACTCCGACGAAACTCGCGGAGACCCACACCTCACTCAGCCTAGAGCCCGACTGCCGCGAGGCCACGCCCCCTCCTGGCGTCCGAGGAAGTCGGCCGGAGTCCTCTGCAAAGTCGCCATCTCAGGTGAGGGCAAGGAGGTGTGCAACACTCCCGATGCTGTTCTTTCTACGGACGCATCGCAGATTCTCGCTGCCACTTGCTTTTGTCGCCCTAAGAGGAGCTCTTTTTCTCTGATGTTGTGAGTGGTGCACTCCAGCTTGAGAGTGGTCTCAGCCGCTTTCAATTTTTCTGCCAGGACCCAAAATGTCCTCCATCTGTGGAAGTAGACGATCTAGCCTTGCATCTCTATGATAACACAGGCCGGCGCCCAGCGAGGCGCATGCGCCCCGCAGGGGTTTATTTAAAAAGTGGAAGGCGGGGTTACATCCAGCTTTTTGCCTGCAAAACTAAATGTGTTGGTATTTGTACTCCGGAGCCAGATCGTTCAGGCTTTCTCCAGACCCCGGCCTGGTATCTGCACTTAAAGCAAGGTTCCCAGAATGTGTCACAGTCTTTGCTCTTATAGGTACTTGAAGTCCCTCTTTATCCCTTTCCATATATTCTCTTCCTTCAAAGACCTACTTGTGGGTTGCACCTGATCATCTCAAACCACCTTGACCGCTACACTGCGCCACGTGTAGAAGTTTGTACTTTATTTTTTAACCTTTGTGAATAACCTTGCATCTTTGCTAGGATGCAAGTACTAACTGTCTTCTCCCTATGTTATGTCCCAGCATCCAGGACAGGATTCTGGGTACTGGAGGCATGCGGCCAATGCTAGTTGAATTTGGTCCAAGAGGAAAATAAAGGACAAGGAAGCTGTGGAGTCGCTAGTTACAGGCTGCCCCAGGATGAGGAGAGGGGAAGTGTCTCCTCTCACGTTAGCATTACCTCTGACCTTTGCAGTCTGAAAATGTCTGCCTGCTGTGACAGTGGACCTAAAGGAACAGTAGATTGTGACTCAGCATGTTTTGGGATCTGAGGCTTCAAGATTTGGAAATTGAATTCCTTTGGAGCCCGCAGCAGTAGCCACCAGGCCCAAGATCTTCCTTTGGGCTCCTGAAGCACGCTTCGCCTGACCCTTATCTCTGACAGTGTAAAGCACACTAGGGAGCAGTGCGCAGGCGCATTGGGCATACTGGGATTGCAGAACTTTGTGAAACAGGCTGGAGGATGAAAGGTTTGAGCCAAGCTTGGAAAATTTAGCAAGACCCTGTTTCAAAAAAAAAAAAATTTTTTTTAAATAATAAGAATTGGAATGCAGCACAACACAAAGGCCCTAGTTCAATATCCAGCAACACAATAAAATAAAACAAAATACAACCAGAGGCTAGTTTAGACCAAATTATGTAACCACTGCACACATGTCCAGCTAGTATAGTCAGAAACAAAGAAGCTGAATGAGTCACTCCATTCCCACCATCTAAGCCTGAATAACACCCAACAGTTATTCCTGCTTCCTTATCCTAATGATAGAGAAAAGATTTTAGGATTTCTATAAGGGAAATAAGTCCCAACCTGCTCGATGTGTGACACCTGAGTTTGTGTTCTTTAAAATCAAAGAATGAATTTTAGGAACAACAGAGGTTAAGAGTAGGAATATTGATCTGGGGTGTACCTCAGCAGTGCAGTTCCTGCCTGGCCAGAGCAAGGCCTGAATTTGATTGCCAGTACAAAAAAAAAATAAATTAAAGAAGAATATTTATTGAGAAGTACAGCTCTGGAGAGGACCCAAAAGTGGGTTGCCGAGGACCCCACTTTTCAGGGGATTTATAGAGCAAAAACCACATGGATACAATGTGAGTCAAAGCTATGCACAACCATGAAGGTTATAAGTATAGTCCCTTGGGTAACAGTGAGCCAATGGGGAAACAAGTCACTTAACAAGTGTATATGGAATGAACAAGGAAGTTTTTAAGAGATGAGTCCAGGGTTTGTTGTTGTTGTTTGGTTGTTTTTCTTTTTAATTTTACGGAAGGTTCTACAGGGTGTTCAGGGTCTTACTACCAGATCCAACTTCTAGTGATCCGCCTGTTTACAGCCTCCCAAGAGCTGGAATTACAGGTGCGTGCCACCATGCCCAGTTTCAATTGGAGTCTCAGTGCACCCCGGGGGCCGGGGCGGGGACAGGGCCGGCACGGCAGGCCTGGGGATTGAACCCCTGGCCCCTGTGCCTGCTTGCAGGCACTTTAATCCTCTGAGCTATTTGGCCGCCCCTGAGTCCAAGGTCTTAGTCACCCACTGAGATGACCAATGTCCACATAGATTTCATTAGATGGAATGTTACAGTTTATCCCTGGCCTGGTCCTTCTCTCTTTATTTTGCAGCCTGGCCTCCATCAGATGTGCCCCTGGGCACAGTTCTAATGAGTTTTCATCTCTGCCCTCATTTTCTCAAGGCTTAGCCCCATCTGACTGCCTACTATATTTCCACCTGGTTTAACTGTCTATAATGCTAAGATGGGTACAAAATGAGGGCTGGGGAGATAGTTCAGTGGCATAAGCACCTGCCTGGCAAGCACAAGGTCCTGAGTTCGATCCCTGGCACCAAAACAAACAAACAAAAAACAGAACAAAAAATCACCTTTGAGATGAGAAGGAAAAAAAAGAAAAAGAAAGAAAGAACACAGACTAGAAGATTGTTACGCCCTGGGAAGTAGAGCATGGGCCCCAAAGGGCAATTCAGGGACATAAAGCCAGAGGTACCTGACCTTTACGTTCTGAAAGCCTGAGTTATCAGCCATCTCTTTCCCTTTTATCCTATCTCTGCTGCTATCTTTCCCAGGATCTTCAATAAATATAGCTACTTAGTACTTACTACTGGGTGTATGCTTGGCAATTCTGTCCTCATAGTACACAAGAACCAGGACTATTACTGTCCCATTCAACTGTAACACTGCTAATGGACATAAGCATAAATATGTTACCTTCAAAAACCATAGAGAGCTAGGCACGGTAGCACACTCCTGCTATCCCAGCTTTTGGGAGGCAAAGGCAGGAGGATCACTAGGAGTTGGAGGTCAGTCTGGGCAACATACTGAGTTCATGACCAGCCTGTCTCAAAGAACAAAACAAGCAAAAACCAAAGAAATAAAACCAAAGAAAGCCAACTACGAGGCCGGCCAAATAGCTTAGTGGATTAAAGTGCCTCCAAGGGGCTTTAAAGGGGTTGGGGGTTCGATCCCCAGGCTTGCTGTGCCAGCCCCGCTCCCAGGGTGTGCTGAGACATCAGTTGAGACTGGGCATGGTGGTACACACCTGTAACCCCAGCTCTTGGGAGGCTGTAAACAGGCAGAGCACTACGAGTCCGATCTAGTAGTAAGACCCTGAACACCCTGTAGGCTCTTCCCTAAAAATACAAAAATCAAGAACCCAATTACGGTAGCATACACCTGAAATCTCAGAACTTAGGAGGCTGAAGCAGGAGGATCAACACAAATTCAAAGCCCAGGCAAGAGGATTGTTTGAGTTCAAGGCCAGCATGTCTTACATAGTGAGTTCAAGGCCAATCTCGAGTTTATAGTGAGACCCTGTCTCAAAAAAGCCAATAGCCAGGAGTGGTGGAGCACACCTGTAATCCCAGCACTCAGGAGACTGAGGTAGGACAGTTGCCACAAGTTCAAAGCCAGCCTGGACTACATAGTGAGCTTATGTCTAGCCTGAGCAGAGACCCTGTCTCAAAACAACAACAGGCCGGGGAGATGGCTCAGTGGAATAAGTGCTTCCTTGGCAAGCACAAGGACCTGAGTTCAATCCCCGGTTCCACCAAAAAAAAAAGAAAAAAGAAAAAGAAAAAAAACAACAACAAAACCCAAAAAACCCATTCAATAAGTAAAATAAAAACTACAACTTCAAGACACAAAAGTTTCCCAGAGTTACAACTATTTTTTTCCCATTCCAAGTTACTCCTAAATTCCTGTCTTTTTTTTTTCTTTTCAAAGTTTTATTGATAAACATATAGCAATGAGACAGTTTCAAATCAAATCGAAAGTACAGTTTCAACAAATAATACACTGCATATATTCTTCTTAGTGGATTCCTAAGTCTTAAAAAAAAAGAGATTGGGCCTGTAATTTTCTCTTGCAAAATAGACCTTTCACCCATGAATGAACCGTCACTTTTCACATTCTACAGATGTTCTTTCCCCAAAACACATAAATATACCAGCTCCAGACCATAATCTAGCTCCTTCTATGAGCATCACATTCCCTTCCCTTCAGAAAAAAATGTGAACCTTTTCTGCCGAACAAATTGTTCCTGTGCCTCCTACTGACATGTTCTGAAAATTCTCTTTATGTGTGGAACTCACTAATGGAGGCAAAAGATAGCAGAAAGCCTCTGTAACACAGCGCCCTCTACTGGCCCTTGAGCTGCTTGAGCGATAGCTGCTACTGTACTAGGTCTCTTCATGGGTCCTCACCAGGTGTGTCCTAAGTGTTCAGGAAATGCTTATGTAGAAGGCATTTAATATTCAGATAGATAGTGTTAAGCTCAACTGCCTATGTTATAGGGTAATCATATCATTAAGCTTCTCTTCTGGAGGGTTAACAACTGAAGTTTGCAGACCAAAAAATTAGAGAAAAAGAAGGGCTACAAGGACAGCCAATATTTTGGCCCTAGCCCTTGAAGGTCGGTGAGGACTCAGGATATAAGAGAACCTGAACTGTAACATCCTGTAACTCGGTGGTGTCCCACATTTTCTGTTCAAGGAGATTATGGGGCCACAGAGGAAAGTGATTGACAATGTAGAGTGTGCCTAAAGAGAGTCACATGGAGGGAAAACATTCTCTCAGGCTTTCACGGAGAGCACATTGGTCAAGCAATGGCCGTGACTCATCCACATGGGTGACACTGACAAAGGATCTACAATCTGAGGTACAGGGTTTCAGGGTAAGTCCTGAGGGGATTTGACTGACCTTGTCACATACAAAAGTTACATTTCTTGTTATATAGGTCTTACTTTATCTCAGTCTTAACCATCCAGCAGACAAGTATAAACACAAAGTATAAAACGTAAAGCTGGGCCGGGGAGACAGCTCAGTGGA